CCCTCCACTCCCTCCAGGCTGGCCACTCGCCCACCCCACTGGGGGCCCCACCGCGCCCCAGCCCCCCGTGGGCCCCGCGCCAGCCCTGACCCGGGTAGGGGGTGGGGGCTGGGAGAGATGGTCATGGTGTGGGAGGGCCCCAGAGAAGAGGTGGTTGGGGAGGAAGCTCCAAGAGAGGAAAGGTCCTGGAGAAACAAGGCACGGAATAGGAGGAAAGGATCTGACCGAGAGAGACCCAGAGACCCATAGGGAGCTGATTTTGTTGTGGCGGACACTCCAGGAGCAGAGAACCGTATCTGATGTTTGGGGATTTGGCTATGGGGGTCTTCTAGGAATGGACACAGCTGTGGAATGATCCTAGCATAAGGAGGGGTGACTGGAAAAAGGACTTTCGTAGGAATATTTAGTGTATGGTAGAGGGTGGGATGAGGATCCAATATGGGGGGAAAGAACCGAAAGGCTAAACTGGGAAGAGAATGGAGGGATGGTCCCTGATGTGGGAGGACATGATAGAGGGTAGGCATGTTATGGAGAAGGTTGCCTGGGAAGGGTGTCCCCTGGTGAATGATAATGTCATAGGTGTGGAAGTCTGTTATATAGGGCCTCTTAGTTAACCCTGGTGTTTGGGAAGTCTCCAAGGGTCTCAATGTACTTTTAGAAGCTGGCAGAGGACCCTCTGAGAAATCCCAGGGGACTCATGATTTGGGGGGTCCTAGAGTTCTATTGGGAAAGGACCTTGCTGTAGTATGGGATGAGAGTGACGTTCAGGGAATACTAAAGAAAGATGGGATCTTGTGTGAGAGATCCTGGGGAGGGGAAGAATGAATCCTACTCCCCACGCTGTCTGTGGTTTCTATCCTTTTCTCTTTTTCTCCCCACATTTATTGGTGTCTCTGTCCCCCTTTCCCTGTCGTGGCCCATATCCACTCCAATCCCCTCCTGGCTCCCAATCCTTCCCTTCTGTGTGTTCTCTTTGTGCTGCCTCATTCATTTCTTTGCTCATTTGTTGAGGGACTCTGCCATGCCACCCCCACCTGCTTGCAACTTCTCTGTGTTCCCTCTCTTCACTATCCCCTGTTGTGCTGTCATAATGTTTCTTTTTCCTCTATGCGCTGCCTTCTTTCTCATGCCCACTTCTCTGCCTACACTGTCCAACACATCTCCCTGTTCCATGTTGTTTCCCCCGCCTCCCGCCTGCTCTCAGGTCTCAGCGGCGGTGGCAGCCGAGGTGCAGGATGCGAGAAGGCGCCCCCCGGCCGGGCTCCCGCTCCAGGCCTCGCTCCCTTGCGGCCCTCTGAGCCCACCATGGCTGTCCCACCAGGCCATGGTCCCTTCTCTGGCTTCCCCGGGCCCCAGGAGCACACGCAGGTACGCATTCAGCTGGCTCCTCACCTACCTGGGGGTAGGGGGAGGCTGGTACTAGAAGGGTCTCAAAGCCAGCTAATAGTGTTGTTGCCCAGGACAGTCTCCTGGAAGCATGACAGGCTCCATGAGGGTAACAGAGTTTGGAGGGCCTAGTTCAAGTCCTGGACTGGCAGTTAAATTACTTAGGTTCTCTATGCTTCAGTTTTCTATTATGTAAAATAGGTACAGTAATGATACCTACCTTACAGGGTTGTTGTGAGAATTAAGTTAATGAACTGCACAGAACATGCTGAAACCAATGCTTGGCACATAGTAAACACCAAATAAATGTTCACCAAGAAAAAGAAAAGCAGAGTGAAAGATCTTGAAGTAGTGAATGGAGGAGGAACATTTGAGTCTGAAGAGATTGAGGCCAGCAGGACCTGGGTAGTATAGGTCATCAAGAATAGAGGTGACTAAGGCTCTGAAATGTAGAACTTAGAGCATTGTCAGGTAGGAGGCCCAGAGTGCCAGGTCCAGATCTAAGAGCCTTGGGGATGAAAGAACTGGGCAGATATGAGCAGAGTTGGTGGGAGGAGTGTTGGGGGGCCCCAGGAAATAAGTATAAATGAAGATGGAGGCACTTCAGAGGCTGGATGCCCAGAAATAATGGTCTGAAGGATTGGGAGGGGTACAGCCCAGCTTTTCCATCTGCTCTCTCCCACTGAGGTTCAGAAAGGAGTAAAAGTGGAGTGAAAAAAAAAACTAGGGTCTAGGTGAAAGGTCAGAGATTCACTCATTCACACATACAACAAATAAATTTTGTGCCAGGCCCTGCTCAAGGTGCTAGAGAGACAGCAAGAACAAGACAAAGTCTCTGCTTTGGAGGAGTTTATGTTCTAGTATGGGAACCAAACAATGCCAAATAACTATGCGTGTGGTAATGAGGAGCCAGCAGCCCTTGCATTTCTGCCCCCTGAGGTTGGAGACAAAGGTCTATACTCAGTGCCCACCCCTCACCCTGCCCTGCAGGGACTGCCTGATGTGCGACTACTGCCTCGGAGGCTGCCCCTGGCCTTCCGGGATGCAACCTCGGCCCCACTGCGCAAGCTTTCTGTGGACCTCATCAAAACCTACAAGCATATCAATGAGGTGGGCAGGGGGCCGGGGAACCCTGGCTAGGTATTGAGGGGTCTTGGCTCCTGGCCCAGACCACTCACCAATCTCTATCTCCTGGGTGGCTGACTGGGCAGGTCTACTATGCGAAGAAGAAGCGGCGGGCCCAGCAGGCACCACCCCAGGACACAAGCACCAAGAAGGAGAAGAAGGTCCTGAACCACGGTTATGACGACGACAACCATGACTACATTGTGCGCAGTGGCGAGCGCTGGCTGGAGCGCTATGAGATTGACTCGCTCATTGGCAAAGGCTCCTTTGGCCAGGTGCAGGAATACTCCACACACACCCTGATCCAGTGACTGGGGGATAGAGGCACCTTCTAATATTGATCCTCACACTAGTGTGTACAGTGGCTCTGGTCTCCTGCTAGGCTATTCAACCCAGCAAGTCATTTGGTTTCCCTGTGCCTTCTTTTTCTGTAAAATAGTGTAAAAACAAGACTTTCTACATGAAGTACTTGTTATTTTGCATCCAGTGCTTATATCAGTACCCAGCTGCTCTAAGATTGGTGAGCTGGGAACACTCACTGTGAAGTGTTAGCGGTATTAATCGTGTTATTGGAGGGTTTCTTGGAGGGCCTCCTTGGCTGCAAGAAGAACAGTCCCTGACTCTGTCTACCCACCTCACTTCTTCACTGCCCTACCCTGACAGGTAGTGAAAGCCTATGACCATCAGACTCAGGAGCTGGTGGCCATCAAGATCATCAAGAACAAAAAGGCCTTCCTGAACCAGGCCCAAATCGAGCTGAGGTTGCTGGAGCTGATGAACCAGCATGACACAGAGATGAAGTACTACATAGGTGAGGCCTGGACTGGCAGAGCCGGAGGTTGCCAGTAGGGGGTGCTGGTGTGCTCAGAGCAGGCTTGGTCTATGCTTCCCCCATGTCAGCACTTCTGCTGCTGTCATGATTCTGCACTAGTTGCTTGAGAAGGAGGGTCAGAGTTTACCAAGTGCTCACTAAGGGCGAGGCTTCTTAGTAAGTGGTGTATATAAATAAATGCATCACAGCCTCCCAAGGGGAGGGGCATTGTTAACCACTCTTGGAGATAACAGGCATTCAGGTGTTGTGGCTTGCAGGAGGTGACAGTTTAGTCTTCAAAAAGTTGATGATAAATGCATCATAGGGATAAACTATACATGAATTTCAAAATATGTTTGCACCAGAATAAATAGGTACCTTAATTCCATTTTCCCACAAACTTCTTGGAGTTTTCTTATTATACTCAACAGCTATAATTTGATGAGACAGAGAACTCCAGTCTTTACTCTTCTAACATCCCCATCTGTTTTTCTCGTCTCATACGTATGATTCCTATTGGTAAAATCAAGAAGACTTCACAACTCCCTAAGTGGGAAATTTACATACTTACAATAAATGGAAAAAGTAAAAATGATAAATGCAACTGAGGTAAAAACAGCATTACAGAATTAAATGAGGAAGTGCAGAATTGTATTAAAGACCTCCTAGTTACTAATGGAAACTGATTAATTGGAAGGTTTCACAGAGACTTGAAGAGAATTAGCTTCCTATATGAGCCAAACTGTATACTGTATAAACATATCAAGGGTCCATGGTAACACTACAGTTGGGCCAATGCTCAGGAAGCAGAGGCATTTAACTACTGTGTGTCTCCAGGCAGCACCAGCCCTCTCTGAGCCTTTTTGGCCATTTCTGTCCTCTTTCCGCAGTGCACCTGAAGCGGCACTTCATGTTTCGGAACCACCTGTGCCTGGTGTTCGAGCTGCTGTCCTACAACCTGTATGACCTCCTGCGCAACACACACTTCCGTGGGGTCTCACTGAACCTGACTCGGAAGCTGGCACAGCAGCTGTGCACAGCACTGCTCTTCCTGGCCACACCTGAGCTCAGCATCATTCACTGCGACCTCAAGCCCGAGAACATCCTTCTTTGCAACCCCAAGCGCAGTGCCATCAAGATTGTGGACTTTGGCAGCTCCTGCCAGCTTGGACAGCGGGTGCGCCTGACTTGGCCCTGGGAGTGGGGCTGGCGGTGTGGTTTGTTACCAGGGCAGGGATGGGACCAACTAGGAGGCTGGCGTGTGAGACTCTAGCTAGGCTGGGATGGATTTACAAGATACAGCCTGAAGTGGCTGGTCCTGTCATATAGTGCTTAGGCAAGGGCTGTGGACTACTACCTACAGCCGTGGAGGGCATGGCCCATGGGGGGGTAGGAGAAAAGAGGCCCTCTGGGCATACTGCCCACTAGGAAGGGGAAGGTTGAGGCTTGAGGGCCAGTATCAAAGCTGCCAGGTGTGAGCAGGGTGAAGTCGGGTTAGGTCTGGTGCTGCTTTGCTCAGGTTTGTTTATCCCATGCTCTTAAAGCTGAGGTGGTAGGCGAGACCTCAGCCTTGCAACATTGTGCAAGCAGACACTTAAAAGTGACAGTGGCATAGAGTGATGGTATGAGGATTTGTGGACCGTTGACCTCAGACTGTTCACCAAAGGGAAGCCAGAGGCTGGGGATGGAGATCAGGACCAGATGAGGCCAGCAGACTCCTGGGGTAGATGAACAAAATGGTGGCAAGAGCTCCTAGAAAGTGTTGTGCTACTATCAGGACTTAGAGCCTCCATCCCATTTGGGAACAGAGGCTTTTACATTGGTCAGAACCTCCTAGCTTTAGGGGTGTCAGTGGGACCAGTAGGGAAGCTAGGACCTTGACAATTGCCCTTCTCCCAGATCTACCAGTATATCCAGAGCCGCTTCTACCGCTCGCCTGAGGTGCTTCTGGGCACACCCTACGACCTGGCCATTGACATGTGGTCCCTGGGCTGTATCCTTGTGGAAATGCACACTGGAGAGCCCCTCTTCAGTGGCTCCAATGAGGTGCGCCCCCAGGAAGGGGTGAGGTGGAGGGGGTGGCACCTGGCCGGCCTGCTGGCCCTGACCACCACCTGCTCGCAGGTGGACCAGATGCACCGCATTGTGGAGGTGCTGGGCATTCCTCCAGCCCCCATGCTGGACCAGGCCCCCAAGGCTCGCAAGTACTTTGAACGGCTGCCTGGGGGTGGCTGGACCCTACGACGGACAAAGGAACTCAGGAAGGTGCGGCCCCTGCCCCTTGCCACTCCTACCCCGGGCGGCCCCTCACTCTCTTGCACTTGGGGCTCCCTCTCTCCCTGCTTCCTTTCCTTGTGTCTTTCCCTTCCTTCCTCTCCCCTTTGTCTGTCCTTTCTGTCCTCCCCTGCCCACCCCATCTCACCTTCCCACCCCACAGCTCTTCTTAGCTTCTCTCTCTTTACTTTCTCTCTGTGCCTCTGTTTCCCCATGTGTGTCTCCCTGCCCCTCCTGCCCACTGACGGCCACTCTCTTGCCCCCCCTCCCACCCCCTCCCTGCCAGGATTACCAGGGCCCCGGGACACGGCGGCTGCACGGGGCGGGGGAGCCGGGCCACAGCCCCGCCGACTACCTCCGCTTCCAGGACCTGGTGCTGCGCATGCTGGAGTATGAGCCCGCCGCCCGCATCAGCCCGCTGGGGGCTCTGCAGCATGGCTTCTTCCGCCGCACGGCCGACGAGGCCACCAATACGGGCCCGGCGGGCAGCAGTGCCTCCACCTCGCCCGCACCCCTCGACACCTGCCCCTCCTCCAGTACCGCCAGCTCCATCTCCAGCTCTGGTGGGTGCCTGGTGCTCAGTGCCCAAGTGGGGTACAGCAGGCATGGGGGCAACTCTGGTTTGTCCAGTATTGGGCAGCATTGTCACTGGGCCTTCACACAAGAGCTTGGAAACTGTCTGGTCCTGAACTCCCAAGTGGGGTAGAATGGGAGAATTCTGACTGGCCCTAGCATGACCTCTGAAACTGGGCCTGGGCTTAAAACCCTGGTTCTGATTTTTTTTTTTTTTTTTTGGAGTCGCTATAGGGCGCGTGCGCTCGCCAGACAGAGAGAGACATAGAGACAGAAAGCGAGAAATCACTCCCCGGGGGGGTGGTCACACCGCAATCCCTTCTCCTCCATTCTCCTCTCGGGATCTTGGGCATGCACGCACACGTGCCCGGCGTGAGTTTTAAGCCACCGAGTCCGGTACATGAACCGCGGTAGACTACGTGGGAATCCAGCGACAGCCATTACGCTAACTGCTGGTTCCCCCTGGTTCTGATTCTTAACATCCAAATCAGAACTCTGATCCCACATCTCAAGATTGGACCTGATCCTTCAGTGGGCTCTGATTCCAAATCCCAAAACAGGGCTTGGGCCATAAACCAGACTCAGTCACCTCAAAATACAGCCACCTCCTCCCTACTCACCTATGGCCTCTTGTCTCCTCCCTGGCACTTCCAGGAGGCTCCAGTGGCTCCTCCAGTGATAACCGGACTTACCGCTATAGTAACCGATACTGTGGAGGCCCTGGGCCCCCCATCACTGACTGTGAGATGAACAGTCCCCAGGTACTGGGCCTTTGGGGCCTTTGGAGGTGGGCAATGAAGTACCTGGGTCTTCAGGACCTGGGTCTCCATCACCCACTTCCTCCTTTGCTCCCTTAGGTCCCACCCACCCAACTGCTGCACCCCTGGGCAGGGGGTGATGTGCCCCACAAGACACATCAAGCCCCTATCTCTGCCTCATCACTGATGGGAACTGGAGCCCAGTTACCCTCCCAACCCCGATGCCTTGGCCGTCCCCCATCACCAACCTCACCACCACCTCCGGAGCTGATGGATGTGAGCCTGGCCGGCGGCCCTCCAGACTGCTCCCCATCTCACCCAGCACCTGCCCTCCAGCACCCGGCTGCCTCAGCCCTCCGGACTCGGATGACAGGAGGTCGTCCACCTCTCCCTCCCCATGATGACCCTGCCATGCTGGGGCCTCGCCTAGGCCTTCGTGGTGTACCCCAGAGCACGGCAGCCAGCTCATGACCCTGCTGCCCCCTCCCTGGGGCCCCTCCTGAAGCCATACCTTCCCCCTATTGGGGGCCCTGGGCTCCTGTCCTCATCTCTCCCCTTGACTGGAATTGCTGCTACCCAGCTGGGGTGGGTGAGGCCTGCACTGATTGGGCCTGGGGCAGGGGGTCAAAGAGAGGGGTTTGGTCACACCCTCCCCTCCCCACTAAGGACTGGACCCTTGGCCCCCTCTACCCCCTTGTTTTCTATTTATTGTACCAAAGACAGTGGTGGTCCGGTGGAGGGGAGACACCCCCTGCCCTAGGAGGGGTGGGGGCAGGTAGGGGGAGATGGCCTTGCTCCTCCTTGCTGTACCCCCCAGTAAAGAGCTTTCTCACATGCCTGCCTGAGCGTTTGCAGGGCCTCGGACCTCGCCTTCTCCCACCCAGCCCTCAGAGGCATCCTGGAGAAGGGTGTTAGGGGCGGGGGTGCTGGGGAAAAGTTGTGATGTGGATATGTCCCTTCTGGGAAAGTTACTGCTGTAGCTGCAAGAGGATCAAAGCAGCACTCCTGGGTAGGATCTTAGCCCACATTTGCTTTTTCCAGGGTAAACTGAGACTCCAAAAGGTACATCCTTGCTCTGGCCTATCTAGAGAGCATAATTTTCCGCCCTGATAAGCAGACTCCCAGTCTTCACAGACGTGGCACCTTTATGTTAGGCAGACATCCAGTAGGTGCTGAATGCATTTAGCGGAACCTATCGGTGCTATCTAGGGACAGGGCAGAGTATTGTCACACATGTTCAGCCCCACCTTTTGGAATCATTGCAGAGCAAGCACTTTGAGATTCTCAGAAAGACTCCAGGGGTTCCAGGTAAGTGGTCCTGTTACCATAGCAACGTGGAACCGGCTGTCTCCCAATGGAATACTGCCTAGTCCGAAGGGTTCCAACGCCCTCAGCTGGGGCGCAGGGCGTCTTGGGAAAGGGAGTAATCGACTTAACCTCCGTTGGGAGGACTACCAAGACCAGAATTCTCACCATTCACGTGTTTGGGGTCGGGTTTTCAGGCATCCAATGGGCAGTCAAAGGGAAACGGTCCGTGTGTTTGAGGCGGTTAGAAAAGGGAAACGAGGCTGCGATTGGGTGTTTCGGGCTTGCTTGGGTCGGTGAATTCTGGGCTTGCGGAAGGTGGGGCCCGGCGGCGCGGAGGGAGAGCATGCAGCTTAGGTTCTCCTGGCTCCGAAGCAGGTGGGAGACGCTGAGGCCTGAAGCGGCCCCATCGTGTGCAACGTCTTTGGTTGCTATGTCTGACCTCCTGGGAAGACCCAGTCGGTAGGAGGGACAGGCAGGGACTCCGTAACGAAGCTGCTTGTGTTCATTAATGGAGGTAGCATGCAACGCGATGGTACCCAGAAGAGGCAGGCATGGGTAGGAAGACCTTCCTGAGAGACCAGGAGCTGCCTGAGTTTAGACCTGAAGACAGAACGGCATTTGGGTGGGAGTGTGCGTAGAACGACCTGCGCAAAGGCAGCAGTGAGGAATGGCCTGTACGTGAATAGAAACTGCGGGTGATTGGGGTGATTGGCGTCGGTGGAGGTCCGGTCAAAAGTTCTGAATGAATAAGAGAAAGGTTTTGTTGACCATTCAGTAAGTTTGGGCTTTGCCCCGAAGGCAGTGAGGCTTGGGAGGGTTTCTGTTGATCCAATAGAAGGTAAAGTGCACCGCCCAGCTTCCTGTGGTAAGAGAAATTGACGGTAGAGCCCGGGGTCTGTGAGCCCAGGGCGGTGGCTGTGGCCGGTCCCTAGGCTACAGGTATCAGGCATGGATTAGGGGAGGTGCCCTGGTAGGGAAGGGGAGAGGAGAGGGCGAGTTGGAGAGACATCCAGAAGATTGAGTTGACAGACTGTGGGCAGTGGGAGAGTAGAGAAGAGAGAATCTCCACATACTGCAGCAGTGCCTGCTCACAGTGTAGAAGCATAACAAAAAATGTTTTGAATGGCAACCCTGGGAGGCAGGTACTATTATGAGGTCTGTTTTGTAAATGAGGATGTGAGGCCAGAGAAGGCTAAATAACTCGTCCAATGTTACATAGCTCAGAAGTGGAAGTTGAGTTGACAGACTGTGGGCAGTGGGAGAGTAGAGAAGAGAGAATCTCCACATACTGCAGCAGTGCCTGCTCACAGTGTAGAAGCATAACAAAAAATGTTTTGAATGGCAACCCTGGGAGGCAGGTACTATTATGAGGTCTGTTTTGTAAATGAGGATGTGAGGCCAGAGAAGGCTAAATAACTCGTCCAATGTTACATAGCTCAGAAGTGGAAGGCGCAGGGTGTGTGTGTGTGTGTGTGTGTGTGTGTGTGTGTGTGTGTATACTTAGCAGGGAGCAAGATGAACCTAGAAATACCACCAGGAGCCACATTTTGCAGGTCCTGTAAGGTATTTGGAATGTTTCTAACCCAGAACCTCTATGCTAAGCTCCTGTCAGCCTATTTGACACCTTGCCTTGCCTATCTAGAGGTATTTGCAGAATAATCTTGGTCAAATGGACCTCTTTTCCCTAAAACCTACAACCCCCATGTTCATCTCAGTAAATGCTACCTTTGTCTTTGCAGTTGCTCAGGCTGAACACTGAAATTGCACTTGACTTCTCTCTTTGGCTTATACCCATGTTGTCCATTAGCAAGTACCTTCAAAGTATGCCCAGAGCCCAACTGATTCTCCCCACCTCCACTCTTGTTATTCTGCTCCAGATCACCCTCACCTCCTGCCTATATCATTGCGGCAGCCTTCTTTCTTCCCCCTCCTCCCCACAGTCTGTTCCTCACACGTAGTCAGAGGGATGCTGTGAGCACCTGTATCAGGTCACATCTCTTCCCTGTTCAGAGCCCTTCCTTGACTCCATGTCACTCAGGGTAAAAGCCACAGTGCTCTCTCCATGGCCTGCAAGGCTGCATTATCTTCATCACCTCTTTGACATCATCTACTACTTCGTTCACTCTCCTCCAGTCATACTGGCCTCAGGGCCTTTGTACTTCCTGTTCTCTGCATGAGCCACTTATCACCCCAGTAGCCCAGACTCGTTCCTTCACCTCCTTTTGATATTTACTCAGATGCCACCTTCTTTTTGAGATCTTCCCTGACCTCTAGCTTTCAGATCTCTCTTCTCTTTTTTAACTTTTTGCTTAATCATATCACTATATAACACACTGTAAAATTTATCTTATTTATTGCTTGTATCCTCTACCCCTAACAGACCATCACCTTCATGAGAACAGGGGCTTTTGTCTATTTCCTGTCTTTTCTCTGTCTGGAAGCATATTTGGCATACAGTAAGTTCTCAGTAACTATTTATCAAGCAAATTCATTACACAGAGTAGTTCTCAGTATCCTGGGGACTCTACTTTTATAGAACTCAAAGGAGCTGCCTTAAAGTTTTCTGAAGACTCAAGACATTCAGCAGTTTCTTCTTGCCTCCTTTGCTTTGTGCTCAATACTGGGAACACAGCAAAAACAAATTGTTTCCCCACCCCTAAAGAACTCACAGCCTTGGGGGTGGGGATTCAGACCATCAAATGATAACACTAATGGGAAATTACAAGGAAAAGTTGAGTGTGCTATAGGAGCGCTTGATAGGAAACCAACTCAGGACCCTGGAAAATGGGGTTTGAGGTGGTGAAGGAGTGAGCATTAACTCCACTAAGAGGTAAGAGAGTATGATAATAGAACCTAGAAATCAAGGCAGGGCAAGAGGCCAGGCCATATCTATCCTGCAAGCAATGGGGCCCTTACCCATGTGTGGTGGAAACTTGTAGAAGAATGTTAAGTCAGTTGCATACATATAGATTATATATAGAGGGTTTTTTGTTGTTGTTGTTGTTGTTTGAGAGGTTTTTTGCTATAGGGCGCATGCGCTCGCCAGACAGACAGAGAGAGACAGAGAGAAAGCAAGAAATCCCCCCCCCCCCAGGGGGGATGGCCACGCCACAATCCCTTCTCCTCCATTCTCCTCTCGGGATCTTGGGCATGCATGCACACACGCCTGGCGTGAGTTTTAAGCCACCGGGTCTGGGACGCGAACCGCGGTCAACTACGTGGGAATCCAGCGACATAGCCATTACACTAACTACTGGTTCCAATTATATATAGAGTTTTGTGGGGTTTGTTTCTGTTTTTGTTTTGTAGATTTTTGCTATAGGGTACATGTGCTCGCCAGAGAGACAGAAAGCTAAAAGTCATCCCCCAGGGAGTATGGCTACACCGGAATCCCTTCTCCAGTCTCCTTTCAGGATTTTTTTTTTTTTTGAGAGATTTTCACTGTAGGGCGCGTGCGCTCGCCAGACAGACAGAGACATAGAGACAGAAAGTGAGAAATCACCCCCCAGGGGGGATGGTCACGCCGCAATCCCTTCTCCTCCATTCTCCTCTCGGGATCTTGGGCACGCACGCACACGCGCCCGGCGTGAGTTTTAAGCCACCGGGTTCGGGACACGAACCACGGTCGACTACGTGGGAGTCCAGCGACATAGCCCTTATGCTAACTGCTGGTTCCCTCCTTTCAGGATTTTTGTGCACACATGTACACGCACCCAGCATGAGTTTGAAGCTGCTGGGTCCAGGACTTGAACTGCGGTCAACTACATGGGAGTCCAGTGACTTAACTAACCATTATGCTATCTGCAGGTCCCATCGGTTGTATATTTTAAAAGATTCCTCTGGCAATTGTGTGTAGAATTGGCTAAGGGGGTTGAGGATTGAAAGAAACCAGTGATAAGACCATCACCATGAGATTAAAATAGCTGCAATGAAAGATTGCCACACATTCTTTGCTGTTTGTCCTATCAGGGACTCCTTCCTTTCTCTTGACCTGGGCTATCCCTGTGGTTTGTTCTGACAGTAGAATGCAGTGGAGGTGATACTGTGCCAATGCAGGGGTAGGGGGTTGAGGAGGGCCCAGCCTTAAGAGGCCTCCAGCTTTGACTTTTTCACCTGGAGCCCCAACCTCTTTACAGAAGCCCAGCCAGCCCCCAGGTGTACTGTTTTAGCTGAGGTACCAGGTGCATGAGTGATGCTGTCTTGAATATCCTGTCCCAACTCCCAGCTGACCCCACATGGAGCAGAGCCAGACCATCTTGAGACCCCTCACCCTCTGAGCTTTGCCCAAATTGCAGAATCGTAGGCAAATAGAATGGTTATTTTATTTTATGCATTGTATTTTAGAATGATTTGTTACATAGCAATAGCTAGCTGAAACAAGCTAATTTTTTTTTAAAGATCTTACCATTTTATGTATGCTCATGTCATCCCCGTGTGTGGTACTAGTGTGTGTGTGTGTGTGTGTGTGTGTGTGAAATGTGTCTTTTTTTTTTCAATTTATTTATTTGCATTCATTCACTGTACATCATTACAGCATAC